AAAAGATAAACTGTAATGAATCTGCATGTACCCATCACCTACTTTAAAATTCTCAACTCATGGCCAGTCTGACTCCTCTGTACCCCCACCCATATTATTTTGAGGCAAATTGAAGATACAGTTTTATCTGTAAATGCTTTAGTACGTATCTCTAAATATCTCTATATTTACAAAATCTGGCCACAAAGCCCTCATCACACCAAAAAAAAAAAAAAAAGTCAAGTAATTCTTCAAATTCATGCACTACAGTGGTTTCATACAGGTAACATATGTGTATGTACTCCATTTATCTCTCTCTTGTGTATATGTGTGGGGGCGTCAGCCATGAATGCTCAGTGCCTAGACCCCTTGAATTATTAGGATTTGCAAAACAAGGACACATTCCCCTTCCTCCATTTACTAGCCTATGCAGGGAGACTTCCCCTCATCTGATCTTCGGTTACCCAGTGGTACAGGTTGAGTAGGAAAGGCAAAAGAGCATTTAGTTCTTCCCCAATATTTACTGGTTTTCAAAAAATAATTAGTTACTTGGTCTTGATCTTTATTGTATAATTTTCCTAGATGTTTGTGAAACATCTACATGTATGGAGAATTGGGCTAGGTACACTGATGGCTGTAAAGATGAGGTGGGCACCGTACCTGCTTTTAAGGAGCTCCCTATCTATCTAGTTAGACAAGACGGAGTGTGCCCAAATGATACGGAACAGTGATAGGAAGGGTCTGGGGATAGAAATAGTGCCATATGGGAGGGGTGTGGACCTCTCCATCCTTTACGTTGTGAATTGGCAGAAGTGGGGTTTTGGGTTGCCTTTAAATTCCATCTAAATTACACATTTGAAGGTAGGGAATCCTTTTTTTAAAAAATTTTTTTAAGTTTATTCATTTTTGAGAGAGAGAGAGACAGAATGTGAACAGGGGAGGGGCAGAGAGAGGGAGACACGGAGTCTGAAGCAGGCTCCAGGCTCTGAGCTGTCAGCACAGAGCCTGACACCAGGCTCGAATTCACGAATCGTGAGATCATGACTTGAGCTGAAGACGCTTAACACACTGAGCCACCCAGGTGCCCCTAGGGGATCCTTTTTGGATGAGGGGAGGAGAGACTTGGCCAGGATGTCGCAGGGGAGCGTGTTAGGAGCTGGGGAGTTGGCGTCTGGGGAAGCTACGTTTGATTAGCTGACCCCTCCCTTTCTGTTTTCCAGGCCCTGGTATACATGTGTGGAGATATGCTCTGCAACATAGGGGCTGCCGAGAAAGTTTTCCAATACCTGGACCGAGAGCCAAATATGCCTCCTTTGGGGACGCTGGCGCCTTCCACTCTGCAGGGGCTTGTGGAATTCCAAGATGTCTCTTTTGCATATCCCAATTGCCCTGACCAGCCTGTGCTCAAGGTGTCTGAAAGGGGGAGGGAACCTGGACCCCTCGCTCCCAGGGGGCGAGGCCTGTAGACCATTTGCCTCTGAGAAGTTGATCTTACCTCTGACAGAAAGAGAAGGGGAGGGTCCGGAGGCAAGCCTCTAACTGTTTCCTGACTTTCCTAGGGGCTGACGTTCACCCTACGTCCTGGTCAGATGACTGCACTGGTGGGACCCAATGGGTCTGGGAAGAGCACCGTGGCTGCCCTGCTGCAGAATCTGTATCAGCCCACTAAAGGGCAGGTGCTGCTGGACGGGAGGCCCGTCTCCCAGTATGAACACTGCTACCTGCACCGGCAGGTGGGTGGGGAGGAAGAAGAGGGTTAGGAGGAGATAGGAGGGAAGAACCATGTGCAGACAGCATGGGAGATCCGTGGAAGAAACACAAGGAGCCCGTTCTTTTTTTTCTTTTTTAAGTTCATTTATTTGGAGAGAGAGCGAGTGTGTGTGTGTGAATGGGGGCAGGGCAGAGAGAGAAGGAGAGAGAATTCCAAGCAGGCTCCATGTCACGTGGAGCCCAACTCGGGCCTCGATCTTATGAACTCTGAGATCATGATCTGAGCCGAAATCAAGAGTCAGATGCTTAACCGACTGAGCCACCCAGGCGCCCCATGAAGAGTCCATTCTGAGGGAGGCAGATGAGGAGGTAAGGAGGATCCCTGCCATGGGGGTTTACGCACAGCCCTCTGTGCCCACCGCCTCTGCACAGGTGGCTTCGGTTGGGCAGGAGCCTGTGCTGTTCTCGGGTTCTGTGAGGGACAACATTGCTTATGGGCTGAAGAGCTGCGGTGATGAGAAGGTGATGGCTGCTGCCCGCGGTGCCAGTGCAGACGGGTTCATACAGGAGTTGGAGCATGGACTGGATTCAGGTACCTTCGGTCAGAAGAGAAACTGGAGATTCTTGGGGGTGTGGGTTGTGTCCCCGCAAGTCCATGTCTGGTGTTTCCTTGCCCTTTGCTTGGCTCCGACTTCTCCTTCCCCAACACCAGGAGTTCTTTAGTTGCCCATCCTGTCCGGGAATCTTTGTTCCCAACAGCCGGTGGGAGTAGTGCTCCCTCTATGAAGTGTGCTCCCTCTATGAGGGCAGCCCCCACAGGTCCTCACACCGGCTCTCATACCCCCTGATGCGTGCGAGGGGAAATACCAGTTGTACACTTGCCCCTGCTCCTGAGGAGGATGTTGTTGTGGCCACTGGTGTCTGAAGAAGGGTATTTCTCCATTTCTTCAGATGTAGGGGAGAAAGGGAATCAGTTGGCTGTGGGACAGAAACAATGTCTGGCCATCGCCCGGGCCCTTGTGCGGGACCCACAAGTCCTCATCCTGGATGAAGCCACCAGTGCCCTGGACGTCCAGTGTGAGCAGTCTGTAAGTACTGGTGTGGGAGGGCAGGACAGTGGGACCTGAGGATGCACGTTTGAAGGACCAGTCTATGCAGAATTGGGCGGATGAGTCTGTGCCTTTTCAGGGGGTGGGGAATGGAATGGAGAATACCGGGTGTGGGAACACCCCCTCTTTCTCCACAGCTCCCTTTTCTATCCGCCTCCTGCAGTGGGACAGCTGAGAGGGAAGGGCAGTTTATCTTGCACTCATTCCAACTTTCTGGTCTTTCATGCTTTCTTCACCCTGTGCCATAAGAGATGGTGCCCACTGGGGACGTGGTGCCCGCCCCGTTCTTACCTTTCTGAGGTGTTGTGACCCTCCCCCTTCAGCTGCAGGACTGGAGATCCCGCGGGGACCGAACGGTGCTGGTGATCGCGCACAGGCTGCAGACGGTGCAGAGTGCGGACCAGATCCTGGTGCTCAAGCAGGGAGAGCTGCTGGAGCACACTCAGCTCGCCGAGGGGCAGGACCTCTATTCCCGTCTGCTGCAGACACACCTGGAGGACTGAGGCCCCAGGACACCAAGCCCTCTCATGGCCACCTCCGTGACCCAGAGCAGCTCGTGCTTTCAGTTTCCCTGGGCTCGTGTCTCTGGGTAGTCATTCTTGGAGTCTGGGAGCATGCTGGAAGTTTGGACCACGTGTGCTCTTATTGAGGCTGGCAGTGGGGGGGAGGGGGGGGTGTTATCTGTGACCATTTCCCTGGTGCTGAGTAGTGTATTGTGATATAATACATCTATTTAAAAACTGTTTTCTTATTAAAAGAGGCTCATAAATATGGAGAACAAACTGAGGGTTGCTGGAGGGGTTGCGGGAGGGGGGATGGGCTAAATGGGTAAAGGAGCATTAAGGAATCTACTCCTGAAATCATTGCTTCACCATATACTAACTAATTTGGATGTAAATTTTAAAAAGTAAAAAATAAAGTCAAATTACAAAAAAATTGTTTTCTTATTACGTAAATGGCACATATTCGTAAAACTAACCCTTGTTTCACTTTCCAGAGGTAACCAACCGTAGCTACTACTTTGCCAGCTATCCTATCAGTGTCTTATCCGTTCTTTCAGATAAATATTAGCCAATATGACATAAATATTCACCAGGTTGCCTCTCTGTATCTTTCCCCATTCTCACTGATGTCTGTAGAGTATGGGGTGGGAGTAGAGCACAGTTCCCTAATTAACAGTGTTAATAAGACATTTGATAATATCTACCATTTATTAGAGTTTTAATATGAATAAGAACTATGCTAAATGTTTTTCAGGTATTATCATATTTAGTCCTTTTCCTCTCAACCCTATGAGATTGGTTGTTATTATCCCCATCTTACAGATGAGGAAACAGTCTCAAAGAGATTAAATAACTTCCAAGGTTATACAGTGGTGGAGTTGGAGTTGAATCCAGGCGTGACCTCTGAGTCCACAATCTCAACCAACAAATTATATTATATCTTGTGTTCATAATCTTGAATTCATAATCAGATCAGGTAAATGGCTCTGAATCCACTCTCTCTCTCTAGTCCCGTTGTTATTATAACTTGTATTTAGTCTTAGGGGCATCTGGATGGCTCAGTCAGCTGAGCATCTGACTCTTAATTTCGGCTCAGGTCATGATCTCATGGTTTCGTGGGTTCGAGCCCAGCATCAGGCTCTGTGCTGACAGTGTGGAGCCTGCTTGGAATTCTTCCTTTCTGTCCCTCTCCGGTTTAAGCTCTCTCTGTCCTCTCTCAAAATAAATAAATAAATAATTAAAAACTAAAACAAACAACTTTCATTTAGTCTTATATGATCTCATCTTCAAAGAAGTTTCCACACCATTGGTTCATCTCCTCCAGCCATTATTCATGAAGTCATTGTTTTCCTAGCAGACACATAGGGTGATGTCACTTCTGTGAAGTCCTTCAAGTGATCTTCATTCTTTTCTGCTCAGATCTTCCTCAGAGTATGCAAGGTGGTCCAGCCCATTTGTAGCCCCCTTTCCTGTTGTGTTAAGCTTCAGCCACAGCTAACTTCCTGCCCTCCTAAGTTCTTTGTGCCTTTGCATATGGTGTGTTCTTCCCATTCCCTGAACCACCCTTCCAATTTATCCCAAGTTCTTCAAGATTTAACTCAGTGGTCGGGTCTAGGAAGACTTTCCTTATCTCCTTAGTCTGGAGAAAGTACTTTTGTTGCTTCAGAGCTTGCCTTTTTCACAGCTTTTATTAAACTATCCTCCCACACCTTTGTTCTTCCACTAGACCATGAACTCCTGGATGGAAGGCTGTTTTTCTTATTAAGCTTCCTATTGACTACCTGGCACAGGGCTCCATTCATAGTAGACAATGAGCAAATGTCTGTTGCACAAATGAATAAATCTCAGTTCTCCCTACACACGCCAAGCACTGAAGATTCAAAGCCATGTACATTACTGCCTTTTGGGAAGGCCTTACCTTTGAAGGTTCCTATTCTAGGAAAGAGAAACTTTCACATTTCCAGAAACAGCAGGTACTTTCCAGTTCAAGCAATGAACTAGCCAGCATGTCTGCTGTTCTGGATTTTTTTTTTTTTTTTTGCCTGGCAACTGTTGGGAACAGGGTGGGGTGAAAGTAGGTAGCTTCTTATGCAGATAAGCCTTTGCTTCATTCTGCTGTTTATGTCTTGACTATCACAGAGCATGAAATACCTGTTTGGAAGGAGAGAAATCTGGCCTGATTCCTTCCTTCCTCTATTTATACAATAGGAATAATAATTCCTGTATCTCTCAACCTTATGGAAACTGTAGCCCTCTGGAAGAAGATAATTTGTTAAAATTCTTTGATATCTTCACTATAATGACACCCATAGATTCCTAATACTTTAAGCCTGGAAGTCATCTTAAAAATAACTAGCAGTCAAATCTTATTTTAAAGAAAGGCAAACCAGCCTGAAATCACACGGCTAGTCAGTGATTGAGCTGGGAAGAAAACTCAGGCATCCAGATGGGCAGGTCAGAAAGTTGTAGCAGACCTTAGGATCTTAGGATATCTTGAAAGATGGCTATCTCAAGGAAACTCCCAGGTAGACCTGATGTCAGGGACACGTTCTGAAAATGTTCCCTGGTGGTGAAAGTGTGGACCTTAGGCAAATGCCTACAAGTGTGGTCTGTTTGGTAACCACAGATATTATTAATTCTGGTTTGTTCCAGAGTCCTAATTCTTTTTTAAAATTAATTAATTAATTACTTTTTAATTTATATCCAAATTAGTTAGCATATAGTGCAACAATGATTTCAGAAGCAGATTCCTTAATGCCCCTTACCCATTTAGCCCATCTCCCCTCCCACAATCCCTCCAGCAACCCTCTGTTCTCTATACTTAAGAGTCTCTTATGTTTTGTCCCCCTCCCTGTTTTTCTATTATTTTTTGCTTCTCTTCCCTTATGTTCATTCTGTTTTGTATTTTAAATTCCTCATATGAGTGAAGTCATATGATATTTGTCTTTCTCTGACTAGCTAATTTCTCTTAGCATAATACCCTCCAGATCCATCCATGTAGTTGCAAATGGCAAGATTTCATTCTTTTTGATTGCCGAGTAATACTCCATTGTATATATATACCACATGAATGAATATATCCATTCATCCGTTGATGGACATTTGGACTCTTTCCATACTTTGGCTATTGTTGATAGCACTGCTATAAACATTGGGGTGCATATGCCCCTTTGAAACAGCACACCTGTATCCCTTGAATAAATACCTAGTAGTGCAATTGCTGGGTAGTTCTATTTTAAATTTTTTGAGGAACCTCCATACTGTTTTGCAGAGTGGCTGCACCAGTTGTCATTCCCACCAGCAGTGCCAAAGAGATCCTCTTTCTCCACATCTGCTGTTGCCTGAGTTGTTAATTTTAACCATTCTGACTGGTGTGAAGTGGTATCTCATTGTGGTTTTGATTTGTATTTTCCTGATGATGAGTGATGTTGAACATTTTTTCATGTGTCGGTTGGCCATCTCTCTGGATGTCTTCTTTGGAGAAGTGTCTATTCATGTCTTTTGTCCATTTCTTCACTGGATTATTTGTTTTTTGGGTGTTGAGTCTGATAAGTTCTTTATAGATTTTGGATACTAACTCTTTTTTTTTTT